GGGGGGGGGGGTACCAATCCCATTTCCCACCTGAAATTTTGGCAAAATCCCAGTCCCAGTTGGATTTTTATTAGAAATCCCAGTCCGAGTTATTGAAATCCCAGTCAATAAAAAACCCTTTATTTATCGGTAGAATAAACAGTTTTAAGACCTTTTACGCCACCGTGTGTGCAAAGTGGCGGCCACTTTATGGCATTTGCAGCATTCTGAGACATGCATAATCAGAAAACCCAGAATTCCAGGTGACCAAAGACACCAAAAACGGATCAAAATTGGGAATCGACTCACATTACTTCAATCCCATTCCCATTTTTGAGGACTTCATTTCCCATTCCCAGTGGCCAAATCCCAGTCCCAGCAACCCAAATCCCATTTTCCCAGTCTAAAAATAGATCAATCCCAGTTCCCATTTTACCCCTTCAGGGCCCTCTTACGTACGAAATCTCAGTCTTTCAGTACCTTGCTTCGGCCTCTGTTGCGCGTCTTCTTTCCTCCTCTTTCTCTTTTTGTCTCTAAGGTTGTACAAAGCAATTGTGAAAAATACAAAAATGCTCTATGTAAGTCAATGATGTACCGATATTAAACCTATATTAAAGGGCCTATATATTGGCCTATACGGATAACTGATACCGAAATACTGAAAACATGTATAGATTTATGTCCTAAGCCCTGGTCAGACCTCGATCAAACGAGAACAAGAGTTGCATGAGAGTTGATGAGAGTTAAGAAGTGAGAGTTTGCATGAGAGTTTTCTCAACTCTCATGCCTCGATCAAACGAGAACAAGAGTTGCATGAGAGTTGATGAGAGTTAAGAAGTGAGAGTTTGCATGAGAGTTTTCTCAACTCTCATGCCCCGGTCAAACGAGAACAAGAGTTGCATGAGAGTTGATGAGAGTTGAGAAGTGAGAGTTTGCATGAGAGTTTTCTCAACTCTCATGCCTCGATCAAACGAGAACAAGAGTTGCATGGGAGTTGACGAGAGTTGAGAAGCGAGGGTTTGCATGAAAGTTTTCTCGACTCTCATGCCTCGATCAAACGAGAACAAGAGTTGCATGAGAGTTGAGAAGCAAGAGTTTGCATGAATGTTTTCTCAACTCTCATGCCTCGATCAAACGAGAACAAGAGTTACATGAGAGTTGAGAAGCGAGAGTTTGCATGAGAGTTTTCTCGACACACACGCCTCGATCAAACGATAACAAGAGTTGCATGAGAGTTGATGAGAGGTAACTGGATATTACCGCAGCGAAAACTTGGAAAACTTGACCATCAAAATTTACCTTTTCTTGCATTTCTTTTCGATTGTCTTCCCTCTCCTCGTGATCTCGTTGTTCTTTCTCCACTCTCAAATCTGGAAACCTTTCTGTTTTTGTTTTATTCAAACGATTTACAATTTCATTGATTCTCTTTTCCACTGTCATTGAACGCACCTAATTGAAAATACACAAAATGCTTTAAATTATATGGAGTTTTTTTTAAATCTCGCTCGATATACATGCAGGGTGTATAAAAAAAGAGAGCAATGTATCCAATTTTAGCATGCCTTTGCGCGTTAATTGCTCGGCGTTACTCGGCGTATGAACGTAATTCTTTCATAGTCATACAGATCTGGGGCCGGTTGTACGAAGGCCGGATAGCGTTATCCATCGCATAGTGATTTTTTCAACCTTTGTAAAAATGCTTGAAAAACTGTGAAACTACGGAATCCGATATAGAGGACACAAGAAGTATAAAAAAACATTTAACTTATAAATACTAAACTTTGATACGAGTTATACCAATCAACGACTGATTTAACAAAGTTTGAAAAATTCACTATCTGGTGGATAGCGCTATCCGGCCTTCGTACAACCGAGCCCAGGCTTTTGGCTGTTGAACGACATGTTTTTCATCCATGCATTATAGAGAAAAAATGAGCAAATACGAGTCCGACAAAGTTGTTTGAAGTTGATTTTCAAAATTATTTCACCAATGAACTCACCAGATGGGTCGTTTTTAAGTACTGTTTTAAACATGAGCAGCAGTGTTTAATTAGATATAAAACACGAAACTCATGTTTTATATCCGACAAAACACTCCTAATCGTGTTTTAAATAGTACATAAATTACTACTTTCGAATAAAATGTAGTGAAGAATAAGAAATCAATAATACCTCTTTTTGTTTATGGAAGCCAACCTGCCCAACGTCCATACCATTTGTTTTTTTCAAGTTATCCCAAGGCGTGTAGACAATTCCAACATTATTCATTTTATTTCCTGGAAAATTGTATTTTATATTAAGATTCCAAATTTTTCCAAGGCTTGCAAATCTCATACAAGTGAAAAAGACATAATTGAGATGAATCTTGAGCTGACCTTGAATGCTGTTAGCTTTCACCAATTGGGCACAGTCATCCAATACAGCTGAAGGAATATCCTCGATCGTTTGTCCCTAATGGAGTCAAAATGAAGGCTCTATAAACTGTTCTCCCCAGGGCTTGCAATCAGGTCAGCAATCGCTGAATGCCAAACTAATTCTGTTGCTAACCTGGTTTTGTTTTGGTTGGCAAAACTTTGCCAACCCAACCTGTCTGGAGGTGCGGTAAGGGTCAACCCCCAACCCTGGTTCAGTAACTGGAGAGATCATGTTCATGGTGTTTGGTAAAGTCTTCAAAAACTCATTAGCGAGCTTAAGATCTACAACGCGAACTTACGACGCGAACGTCGCATTAAACAAGTTTTATTTTAAAACGATGGCAAATACCATTAGAATATTTGTATCACAGTAAATAAAATGAAATTATACTGGAAAAAATGTACAACATAACAGAGGCTAGCAATATATTAAGAAGATATTTTTTATCATAAGTTTTTACGACTTCTATGACGACGAATCTTTGCAAATATCACGTCGTCTCGGATGGTAGTTTTGGAGGGAAAATGTGCATTCGTAACAATAGTCTATAAAGCCTGGTTTCTATCAGTTCATATGGCTGTTAACGTGTCATCACAGTGTCACAAATCTCAAAGAAATAAACTCTGACAACTCTGACTAGGCTTACACGCGAAAACTAGGCTTCGGTAAGCACGTCCGCGTCACAAATTCGCGTTGTAGATCTTAAGCTCCCTATTAATAATTCAGGAGGAAAACACAAAGAAAAATCATAAGCGTGTCGTGGTTTTATATGTGATAAAAAATCATGTTAATTTACATAAACTTTAGCTTTGATTTTCTCGGTTTAGACAAAGTTTATTTTAAAAATTACTTCGCTATTGAACTCGTATAAGATGAGTCGTTTTTGAAGCCATTTAAAGCACTTGTAGAGTTGTAGTCGTGTTTTATCACATATAAAACACTCCGATACGCGTCGTATTTTATATGTGATAAAACACTCCTACGTGTGCTTTAAATAGTACATAAGCACTTTTCTGGGACAAAGTATGATGTCATCCAAATTTGCATATTGAAGGGATCGAGTCCTTGTTGTAGGGGAAGCCAACACTGTGGTCAAACGTCTGTGCATATTTACTGCCTGTATTCAGACTGGAAATAGTATTGTCTTCATGAAGCTCTAGCAAAAAGTGTAAAGAAAAGTACGAGTGTTTGAACTTTGAACTCAGTATAACTTCACCTTCACACAAGGAAGAAGTGGTGAAATAGTAAACGCTTAATTCTTTTCCTGTATTTACTCCTATTATTTTGGCAGACATTTTCCAGCGATTTCCAAATACTTGCGCATGTCCTTTACATTTGACCGTGGTGTTGGGGAAGCCAGAATTGCAGTAATCACTACAGTATGCTACCAGTTGGTAGAGAAAATGCCACATAATATTTGTATTGGGTCATTCCAGAAAATATCTCCCCCAGGGAGGAAATTGTAAATTAACACACCTACCCCCCTCGGCTGTCCTAATACACTTACTACAAACAATGATTACAATCAAAAACAAGGCGAGACTGCTCGGGTGTTCAACGATCTTCCCGAAGACATTCGGAACAGTAATAACTTTAGAGAGTGTTGCCAAATTGTTTCGCTCATTTCAGAGACTTAGCATTGAACAAAATTAGCAACATTTAGTATGCAATACAATGTGTTGTTTATATTGTACGTAATGTGTCCATTGTTTCGTTTCATTTTTGTCGTTTGATTATCTCTTGTGAAGTATAGGTCTCTAATATACTATAATATTGTAGTAATTTAATGTTGTCATAATGCATGCATGTAACCTTTTGTAGCATAGAATAGCCACAATGTGGAAATGCTATTAAACCATTATTATTTTTTTTTATTATTATTATTATTAGAAACAAATTTTTCTGTGGATGACAAAAATTTGACAAATTTCCTTGGTAGGGGGAGTGTGGATCTTTCCTGGAACAACCCATTGTACAGTATATTACACCCTGGTTAATTAAAGATGCACAAATTAAAAAAATATCATTTCTTCTATTCACCTTCGGAAGCCTTAAATACACATGTGCTGATGATACTTTATCCACATGAAACCTGACAATGTGAGAAATAGTTCATATTATTGTTTGACTAATGTCTGGTTACAAATCTGTGGCTTAAAAAATTTTAATTTTACCAGACATCTTCGGGCCAGCCGTGTTTAATCAAATCTTCATCTAAAGAATCAAATTATAAGTTTACTGTACTTTATAAAAATTATTAGGCCAAATAAAAATAATAGTTGGTTTCAGGTTTCCAACCGACCTGTCAAAAATATGACCGACCATAAACATTTTGTTGACAATTCCAAGTAGAGATCATCTTTTCGTAAATATCAGAATATATAAATAGTCATCAGACTTATTTGTCTACAAATTATTTTGTTTGCTTATAATTTAATCATCTAGTCATGTTAATCATAGTTTTACACAAAGAACAATTGAATAAAATATTAAAAACGTATGTCATTCTGACATTGCAGCTATGGCTGAAAAAAGACAAAAACACCTTGATGCGTTTGTTTCTTGCCAAACACATGTAACTCGCGGGTGATCCCGTCATTGTATACTTGAGATAAAATATTTTAAAATAAAATGTTTTTCCGACCTACCTACCCATATAAAACATGGCGATGAAACCTGAAACCAACTATTATTTTTATTTGGCCTTAGTGTACGGTTTTGAAGCTTCCTCGTTATTAAAGAAACATGAAAATATACAATAAATTAGAATTATCAGAGCCCCTTAGTCTAGCAAGGTGTTTAATAGCTACAGTCAAAAATTCCGCGTTAAACAAGGTTTCCCCAATTACCTTGAGGTCAGAATTTCCCAATTTGGGTCAGCCAAAAAATAATTATAGAAATTCAATGTTGTTAATTTTAATACGCCATTAAAAACATGTTTATAACTACATTTGCTCAAAATTACTCCCAGAATGCAAAATGCGGGAAATGCCATTTCAAAGACATAAAAAATTTAAAAACGAGAGGAGGCAACCGCATGCCCCAGACCCACAAAGAAATGCCCGGCTTCAGGCTAAAATAAATTTCCCAATTTCAGGTAAACACGGATATTTTTTTACTTCTGGCTAACACCCTGTTTAGGTCCAGTTAACTTACTTTCAACTTTATCAATTCCCATGTATATTGTGTAAGGCGGTGAGACAACTACAAAAAAGTCAATATTATTATTAAATATCAATTACAATTGACCATTTGCATAATAGACCAAATTTTGATCTAAACAAGTCTATACAAAAATTTCATCACAGCTTGAAAGAGCATCACAAAATTAGTAATATTCCAAAGTTTCGTTGCGAAATGTTGTAAAATGGAGAAAATATAGCCTTGCGAAGTTTGCAAAGTTTCAGTCATTTTAGATTACAAACGGGAAATTGACAGCCCCAAAGGGTATTGGGCTGTCAATTTCCCGTTTGTAATCTAAAATGACTGAAAATTGCAAACTTCGCAAGGCTATATTTTCCGCATTTTACAACATTTCGCAACGAAACTTTGGAATATTACTAATTTTGTGATGCTCTTTCAAGCTGTGATGAAATTTTTGTTGAGATCAAAATTTAGTCTATTACGCAAATGGTCAATTAGTAAATATAAAAAGGCCATGGAAACACATTCATGGCACTGACTCCTATATGTTATTTGCCATATGTAGTTTGCTTGAAATCTAGTGAAACTTATTTGGTATAATCCAAACCATGTTTAAATTAAAGAACGAAGCCAATTCCTAAATATCAAATCAAATATATAAATATTAATCAAAGGGTCATTCAATTTTCTACTTTGTAAGACCTAATTCACATGTTTCTGTACGTATACTTTAACTGAGATATCTACAGCCTCTAGATTAATACACAAAACCAACGTCTTCTCACCTGCGCTCGTAAAATAAAACACCATTCTTCACAAAACAATCTTTAAATTTAATTTTTACATCGCTTTGAGAAATCCAAAAACATCCACCATATTGGTTTTCGTCACCATGCCCCACCCCCGACACGGCCAACTGACGCAAATTATGTTACCATGGTAGCGCAGTGCTAGCGTCTCGTTGCTAAGCGCCAAACAGAAGACAAAACCCAACACCGGCAAAAGCTATCCATTCATTTCGACAGAACTCTTGCGAGAAAGTTTTCCGTGCAATTTTGAAACTATACAAGAACTAAAATATGGCTACAACAACACAGAATACGGATCAATTCCCGCCCCGGTACAGTATGTCCGATTGGCATCAATCGAATGTTATCGTCCGAACGACGGCCCAGAGGTTGCGAGATTCGTCTCATCGCATCAGACAGGAAGGTCGTTGGCTGAGAAACGAGAGCGATAATCATACAAGATGGACACAACATGATAGCGACACTCGCATGGAAGAACGGATAGACGACGTTAGCACGTGGAAGAAAGCGCTTGAGAAATGCCTCAGAGATACGGACGAAGAAATTCGATCTCTCGAACGTGAGAAAGAGCGATGCGAACGAGCTTTGGAAGCCAAGAAAGTGCCCTTGGATATCGCGCTGGAATGCCTAATGTTGCGAGAACAGAGACTCGGTATTGATCTGGTCCGCGATCCCGTGGAAGCGAATTTAGGCAAGGTAAGGAATTCACAATTTCGTTCTAACGAATTTCGGAATTTTTTTAAGAAAATTCGAATTCTTAATTGGTGATAGGAATGTCATAGCTTGGTAAGCGTGCGTAATAAAGCTTAATAAAAGATTAAAGTCTGGATATCCCGTCGTGTTGATAGGAGTAACATAAACTTACGTATTTTATAAATTTTACCCTTGCAATGAATTACAGGTAATCACAATATTTTTGAGGCACCCCGGGAAGTTTTTTTTATAAATATCAACAAACGTTTGTCAAAGGCATAGTCACACTCAGGTGGTTTGGCAAGGGTCACCTGCATTCACATTTATTTCTAATGAAAGTGTTTAACTATTTTACATTTGTAAGCAAGTGATAGGTGGTTAGATAGGTCTATTTGAACAGCTGTTTTTAGTGTTTTATAGAGTAGACATTGCTATTACAGTCGTGTTATTAAGAGCACAAAAATACCGGAGTACAACTTACATAATGGTAATAATGGATCCTCCTTGAAAAATGTTTTGCTATAGAATTTTAAATAAAATGTAAAGTCAGAGTTTATATCAAATTTTGTCACAGCAGGATCAAATTTAAGCCCTCAAAAACGTTTTGAAACTTCAATTAATCTTTTAACTAGATTATTAGGCGCGTGTCGAGCCAACCCTCTTCAGCAATCAGCGAGACGCGCTTTTCGAAATTTAGTTGCGTAAAACATTCTGTTCCTTGATCTTAGTATTCAGCAATTGATCGCATCTTATTGTTAGGTTTTAGTTTGAAAAACAAGGACTAAATATTTGTATAGTACCAAAACCGTTTGTTTAATTTGTCACACGATAATTTGTAAAAACAGCTGTTTCCAAGGGAATTGAAATTTGACACCCAACTCCGAGGAAAGTCCGCGCTGGGCCCCCACTCGCTAGACTATGTACATAAAGTCCATAAACAGTACATCAGCCATACGTGGACTTCGTTTGGTGACCGAGGCAGTGCGCAGCACATGCTGATGAACTCTGAAAGGAAGATGTGCTTTGCGCATTGATTGACCTTATTGTGTTTGGTGGCAAATTCGTCATCGGCGAACGTCATCGGCAAATTCGGCGAACTCTAAAAAGACAGATATCGAAGTGACTTATAAATTGTTCACTATATCTGTTGTCTTGTGTTTGGTGGCAAAGTACACTGAATTTAGTCCGAATTTCGGACTGTTAGCTAGCTGTAAGTACAGTGACGGGTCCGGGGTCCCACCATGCATATACAAGGTGTATCAAAATAAACGCAATTCATCTTTTGTGCTTAATAACTTTCGAAATACTATTTCTAGTTAAACGCTTTTAGGCTTATTTCAAAGCCTGTTCTTTTCTCTTTCAAACAAACTATTATCCTTGTCTCCAATGCTAGTAATAATTGCACAGGAAAAGATTTAGTAAAACCTATCATTTTTAGTTGCTGTTTAATTATGCAAGTTTACTATGTTATTGTTTAGTCGGTTTAAATGTTAGAATTTTCTTCTTTAAACTTTAATGTTGTCGTCACTACATCTGGAAAACCACGTAAGAACAAATTAAAAGTATTTTAAAAGAGACCAGGTTGTTTGAAAATCATAAACGAATGCTAAAAATCGTCAAAACATTCTGGTGTCTGAGCCAGAGTGTCATCGAATTGCGATGTAATGTAAACAGAAATTATAGCAAGTTGATGTCAGTCAGCTTAGATGGTCCAAGCCAAAATTATATCGCATTTGAAGTTTCAAACGGAGTTAAAAATAGTGGAAGAAAAGCCGTAATTATACTTATTGTTACAATCCATTTAATAAAATGCAAAATTTTTTTTGTTTTAATGAAAAAATCAGTTATTTTCATGAGAACGATTTATTCCATCTCAATTTTTTTAATCTCCAATCGCAATAACGTAAAGTATTATTACCCGCGAACCAATGAGTCAAATTTAAGAAACAACCCACTGTTAGAAAGCTGAATGGCTACGCTTTAAAATGAATGTAAACTTTAACATTTTCGTCTATTATTTGTTTAGCAATTTACATTTCAGTCGAGGATTGCGCTTTTTTTGATACACCCTGTATAGCATCATATAATCTAAACTGAGTGAAAGTCAACCCCGCAATAGGTTTTGCGGGACGCGGGATATAACGTTTGTTAGTGTAGCGGCAAAAAAGGATGAAAAATTTCACGATTCAAAATTTCAAAAAGTCTCAAAGACACGGGATGAGAAAAATTTATGGAAAAGGCCCAAAAGGCACGGGATAGTTAGAAAATTTAAAGGATTTAAAAACCATATTGAGTATTGTGGACCTCTTGGTTTAACGAGCTAGGGCAATATTTTGAGCAATTTTAATTAATTAAAAGGTTTATTTGCTTTGCATGTGTTTTATAATGTTTTGCTTGAATGTAGATAAACAAGCAAATCCTGCGGTAAAACAAGGTAAAGATGTTGCCTTGACGACATTTAGAAACGCAAATTTTTCATCAGATTATATTTGCATTCAGGCATTTTTTGAAAAATAAACTCGATAATGAATTGAGCATTTATAAATTGCGTTGATCATCGGCGAAAAGTTGAATACATACCTATATTACAAAATCTAACGGCGCTCTCGGATCTTAACGGCAATAGTAACTTGTTATCGTTTCATATTTAATTTCTGTATTAATAGTACTAGTACGTTGCAGCTACAATAGGCAATTCCAGCTTTTAGTTTATGCGTGCAGGGGACGATGGGAAGTAAGGTATCACATTGCTGATTATGCTGAAAAAATAGAAATGGTGGCCGTATAAACACAGAGTGATAGCTTATTCTTGTAAATATTGAAATATTTCGGTTGTTTCGGTAGTTTTTATTGAAATTTTTCAGCATAATCAGCACTACGATACCTTACTTCCCATCATCCCCTGCAGGCATAAACTAAAAGCTGGAATTGCCTATTCCTAGCTGGAAAAAGTAACTAGTTTCTCAAACAGTAACAATAGACAATCGTTACAAAGTTGTTACTATTATATTGAATTTCTCACTCATTGGTGAGCGAATTTCCCAACAGGCTATTAGTATTACCCAATGGACCATTCCCCAATTAACCAAAATTTTGAACTCAACAAGTCTAGACAAAATTTCATCACAGCTTGAAAGAGCATCACAAAATTAGTAATATTCCAAAGTTTCGCGTTGCAAAATGTTGTAAAATGCGGAAAATATAGCCTTGCGAAGTTTGCAATTTTCAGTCATTTTAGATTTATACAAACGGGAAATGGTTACCACTTCTGTGCGTAATACAAGATGACTGAAAATTACAAACTTCGCAAGGCTATATTATCCGCATTTTACAACATTTTGCAACGAAACTTTGGAATGTTACTAATTTTGTGATGCTCTTTCGAGCTGTGATGAAATTTTTGTTTAGGCTAGTTAAGATCAAAATTTTGGAAAAGTGGTAACCGTTTCCCGTTTGTAATCTAAAATGACTGAATATTGCAAATTTTGCAATCTCCTCAATTATTTCGGGACCTTGAGTAGAGTCTCTCCCAGGTCTCTCAGCTTGAAAGGCAAGCGCGGTGACCACAATACCACAAGAGGTGGTTGAACATTCTGTACAGGTCTACAAAACCATGTTTTCTTTTCCCCCAATAGGAAGTTGAAGTAATTGAAGGATGCAAGGCATTACTTCAACAGAAGATCAACGAAGCTTCTGAACAATTGTGGTAAGTATTAATGATCTTCCGCGGAACTTAATAGGGTTGGGTACCACGGTGTACCATGGTTGCTTACAAAAACTTTGAAAGTAAACGATAAGAACTTCCTCACGTATTTGATGAGTATTTTGCACTAGTAAGTCAGAAACATAAATATAACACCAGACTTGCTTCGAGATCATCATACTCCCTTCCAAAAGCAAGAACCAGCTATGGCAAATTTAGTATAAGATTTGTTGGCAGTAATGTGTGGAATTCAATTGACGAAAATCTAAGGTAAAGGGTCTTTCTAAATCTCAGTTTAAAAACAAACTTAAAAATAATCTATTGAATTCATATTAGCTTATAGCATCAAAATCGTCCATTTTGAAATCTTTATTGCACGTGCATGTTTTATTTATTCAGTTCACCCACTAAAATATATTTGTTACTAATCAAATTCGCTAACTGCCTTTTGGTTATTACAGTTAGCTAGTACCTTCTTTTTGCAACTTTATCCCAATTTTATATTTATGTATGTATTCAGTTAACGGCACTGGATAAATTGTCTTGTCTTGTAAGATTAAGGGCGGGATGTTATGATGTGCTTGACCAAAGATCATGAAGAATTGCGTGTAGACCACGCAAAATAAAGCGGAAGGGGAAATGCGGAAAAGCACACGAAGTACGACTCTGAAGGGAGGGGCTGGGATTAGACCATCCCCGTCAGCCTGTCTCGTTATCTAACTCTAACATACCCCTGTAATATTACTTTTCCCAGCTTATTGCAAGAAGCACGCCAACAGCTGTACCGTGATCTCACAGACAAGAACATCGCTTATGATATTGATGGCGAATGCCTCAAACTAAACAACATTTCTACAAACATATGTTTCCATCCGGATCCGACCCGAACCGTGAAGGGCAGCGTGACACCCGAGACCTGGGACCAATTCTCCAACTACAACAAGTTGCGGGCCGAGGCAGAGATGCAGGCATCGCAGCGGCTGCGAGAGGCGATCTTTGCCACAATTCAGAAGACGGCAAATGACCTCGAAGCTCAGAGGCAAGCAACCGAATTCAGTTACAGGAAAAGAATTCATGAAACTGAGCAGACAAGGAACGAATTGGAATGGCAACAGAGAAATGTAAGTCTTGTTTTGATGATCCACCATCAGTCGGCCAGTCCAGGTAGTCGGTCAGCCAATCAGTAGGACGGTTAGTCTTTGGAGGCCAACAAAAATTCTTGGAACTATGGAAATCTGTGCAAAATTTTTCAAGTTGTAAAAAACTGCTGAAAAATCTGCACAAATAATGCCTTTGTGAACCAAGATTTCTGATCTTCCTATTCAAATGAGAAAATAGCGCGTGTACCTTAAATTACGTCACACTAAACCCGTGGTTTATTATCTTACATTCTTGATTCTTTTTTAGACCAAGCACGAGATGGAAACACTTGAAAGTGATATACGTCACATCAAGCAGGCCATTGAAGCAAAGAAAGCACCAATGATGGTGAGTATGCTGTGAAGTGCCGAACTCCGTTCCCAAGGTCAAGAACGGGCTGTAAAAATTTGGCCGTTGACCGCGTATTATTAACAGGGTATCTTTATAACGAAAAGTATGTGTCTTAGTTTTTGCGGGGACAAAAAATAAATGGCTGTAAGATACAGGTGGTGGGTGGTCGGTTGCACTGTGTATTAGACTAGAGCCCAATTGGAGTGTTATTGTATACGAGTGAGTTTCGCTGTACACTATAGTGATGGTCAAGGGAGAGTTCTCAGAGAGAATTAGAGAGAGGGTAACAAACTACTCTTACCCAGGACCACCTAAAGCTAATTCTACCCAGAAAGAGAACATGGTACTACTTTTCTGTTACATGCATATGTATATCTGTAGTATTTGAAAGAAATCAACGCTGATAGTAGTTTAATTTTCGTTTTCCTACGAGTGTGACCAATTCTGAAGTTTACCACTGCCGATAAACAAAATCACATGGCTCATTTTAATTAACTAACTTCTGATTTCTCTCAAAGGTTGCTCAAACAAGGCTGGAGAATCGCACATACCGTCCTAATGTGGAGTTATGTCGTGACACCGCACAGTACCAGTTATGTCATGAAGTACGCGAGATTGAAGGCACAGTTAAAGCTCTGGTCGAGAAACTACAAGAGGCACAAAATGCTCACAATTCTCTGACTGACAACCTCAGGAACATCGAGGAAGATCTATCCGTCAAGGTAATTATGAATTCAGATTACAAAGCTTCGAGTCTCTAAGATGTAACCAGTAATATATACAATTCAGTGGGATGGCCGATGGTAGTATAATCATCATAGCTCGTCGTTCTCATATTTATCATATTTGCAAGGTATCTTTTAGATATCTATTTTCTGTAATGGTCCGCCAATCTCCATGGTTGGGGGAGGGAGGGGTGGGGGGAGGTTCTGTCAGAAGTTTAGTTGCTCTTGGGAGTGAATAGCTCAGAAATTTGGAGAGGCTTTGGTCAAATTTAAAGTGCGGATAAAAAAGTTTAAGATAAGGAAGCTTTGAAGAAGGTTGACACTTCACACACCGTATTCTGTTCAAAGAAAGTTGAATAGGACAAGGCTTGTTGAAGCAAAACAATGTCACTGACAACAATTTGTATCTGTTTAGTATCAAATTCACACGAAGTTAGGATGGCCGATATCTAAAAACATGTTTCTCTGGACCTGTGTGGGATTTTCATTTGTATAATAGGCAAAGTGTGTTAAACATTTTTTTCACAATACTAAACTAAATTTCCCCATTGCAGGTGAACTCGCTGGCCTTGGACAACCGTTGCATGACCTCAAGACAGAAATTGAAGGAGACACCACAAGACATGACCCGTACTGAACTATTTAATCTAACCACGACCAACGAAGCTCACTTAAACTTCAAGAACCCGTCACCCATGACAACCATGATAGACCCCGCTAGCCTCGAGCGCGCGGTCACCGGTCCCATGACTGCGTCACGGATGACTCCAGTCAGCGCGCTTCCCCAAAGCGCTATGAAGAGCGCGCGTACTCCATTGCTGACAAACTAAAAACTCTCCCCAGTATTTGGGAACTCTTATATGATAAGCTAAGAGACCCCTGATTTTGTCAACCTTAGTATATCGGTGTGTGGTTAGTAAAACCAGAACAGCGTGACACAACAATATACCAATCATTAACACTGAGATATATACCTGATCACAAAAAGATGCATAGATTATGCTGACTTAGAAATAATGTATATGGCAAAAGAGAATGTTGTGAATTGTTCACATTTTGATATGAAGTGTAAATTTTTTATTACAAAAGGAAATACGATTGTATGATAGAAAATAAAATGTTCCTCGCTTTGCATACGTCTGTTTATTTCGTGTAGGGAAAGGGTCGTCTGGGGTGGCCAGGCAGCCAAGATCCTTTACTCGGTTGGCTTTGGCTAATTTTGGGCTAGCATTTGGCACGTATGACGTCATGCACGTGACGCAGACTAAAGCCTGTTTTCCATTTCAACCGTATCGTGGTAATCGTTCCACGTTTCGCGCACCAATATAGTGAACGTTATCTAATGGATTAATTATTATAGTGTACTGAAAAGTTAACTGGATACCACCATACACATATATACACACCCTAACTTTAAACCTAACCCTAATACCTAATACCTAACCTACGTATGGTAACGTAGCATTTTCTAATCTGGGGTACGGGGTATCGCAAAGGAAGAGCTCCAGAATTCCAGATTAATATTACTGTCGTTCCAATTGAAGTGTTCCTCAAATATTGATTCAATACATTACCTCGGGCTGACCAATTCATTTGATCAAGTTCCTCGAAATATTCATACACTTCCTAGTATAATTGTAAACTTCCTGTTGAATATTTTGAATGCACCAATCACCTTTGTTGTTTGTGCAAACACATGAAACAGGCTGAAACACTAACACGTTTTAAAAGCCTTTTTAGCAACAAATTTTTAGACTTTCATAGATTAATGCTTATTGGAATGCTCTATATGTATATTCTATTACAGTATACTTATTTCTAACTTTTTAGCTTTTTAATTTAACCTCTACTAACTTTTATTAACTTTATGGACAATTTATTATTTATGTAATAGTTTTATCAGGGCCCTACTGAAAATCGCACTGCGAGTTAGGCCCCCTGTCAAAATATTATGATAACAATAATAATAATAAAGTGCAACTAACCAATCATAAATAGAAAGGAAGTGACCAGAAATGATCAAATACTTGGAATTGCCTCTTTCACAGGAAGTGTATGAATATCTCGAGGAACTTGATCAAATGAATTGGGGTCAGCACTTGTTTCCATCTACCAAACTGACATGACGGCATTTTCGGAAAATGGAAGAGGTGTTAAATGGCGATGTAACTAACCCAAACCCCACCCCTACTCTAACCCCTAACCGCAACCCTAACTCTAACCCTAACCAAATTAATGAAAAAAAATCCAAAAAGAAACAACTTTAGAAATTGATCAAATGACGTAACGTCAGTTTGATGGTTGGAAACAAGTGAAAACCATGAATTGGTCAGCCTGAGGTAATGTATTGAATCAATATTTGAGGAACACTTCAATTGGAACGACAGTAAAAAATCTCTGGAAAACTTATTGTACGCGTTCAATAAGCAATAGCGTCAAAACTCTTTTCTTTGGTACCAGGCCAGTTGCTTTAGTGTTCTTGCATTGGCAATGATAAAAATTTGACTGAAAAGTATTTGTGGGAATATATTCTACACACGTAATGACGCACAAGTTGTAACAAACCTGCAGTAAAAACAACAGATTTGTAGCAATATGCTGTTCCAACAACTTGTCAACAGGATGTGTTCGCACTGCTTGTTCCCAGCTTGTTGACAAGTTGTCAACGGCTTGTTCACAACTTGCTTACAAGATTGTTGAGCTCAACAGACTGTACAACTTGCTATCGTCCTTCAACTCGACAATTTGTCAATAAGTTGTGAGCGACAACCTTGTAGAAACTTGATGAAATAACAGCATTGTTACAACTTGTTAACAAGCTTGCTACCGCCCCCCTGGTTTTTCTGAGGACAATGAGAATTAGTGACAGCCCCCCCAAACTATCGCAAGATATTATTGTCGATTTCAGGGAACTTTTCAACACGCTGTTCCCAAGTTCGTTGCGAACTTGCCAATTACGCTGTCAAGTTCGGAAGTTGGGCGTGAACTTCGCAACGAAGTTCGCAAGTTCATTTCAAAGTTCGAACTTTGATTGTAAACAAATATTCATAGCTGGAGTTGAAATTACTGTACAAGGCCCTATGCACATATTACTGCGGTAAAATATTGGTACAGTGGTCTCCCAAGACGAAAATGCCTTTTTAAATAAATTTATAAATGAAATTTTTACATTTGTTTACAATCGAAATTCGAACTTTGAAATGAATTTGCGAACTTCGTTGCGAAGTTCCCGCCTAACTTCCAAATTTGGAAATATAATTGGCAAGTTGACAACAAACTTGGGAACCGCGCTTTGAAAAGTAATCTGGAATCGACAATAATTGATCCCCTCATAAAGTATCTGAGAAATGCATCAATAATTAAAATTTCAGTATGAAAATTCGATGCCGAGCTTCTCAGAAGGGGGGG